ACTCTTTCCTATAAGCTGAGTCAGTCTCCTCTCTTCCAGCTGCTGTGAGAGAAGACCCCCCCTCTCTGAAGCAAGCTTCACTTACTCCTGCCAGCACTGGCCAGCTGAGTGTCATGAGTCAGAAGGTCCAATTTTTCTTCAGTGCATTTACACAAAACTGTCATAAAGCATCCAGAGGCCCATATAGATGAAAGAAGGGCAACTAAATAAATGTAAGACCACAACTAGCTTAACAGCAGTTCTTGCTAGCTTTATGATTCACTTATTTACCTTCTCCGCAGTGTCCCTCACAAACTCTGATGCAGGCAAGGAAGCCAAGTAGAACTTCATCTCCTCTTGTTTCTCCTCCTGTTCTTTCTTAATGTTTATTTTTAATGGCTCGCTAAAGTTGAGAATATCTACTTCCTCTTCGTGTTCTGGTTCTCGTTTTAGAAATTGCTGTAGTTCCTCTAGTTTTCGGCACAGCTCCTCACCACTGCTGTAAGATGAAGGGCATTCTGAAAAAGAAGCAATCAATTAAATACATGATAGATTACAGAAAGCTGTTTATAAACAGATGCACACTCAAAATATGGCAAGAAATTAAGGTAATTGGAAGTTTTTTTTCCTAGTTCCTACCAAACATAAGGATGAACAGAAATGCAAACAGTCACTGAGAGCCTTCTACTCATACCTTCATGACACTCATGGTCCTCTCCCTCATCTGCCCCTACACCAATCATGAAGGCTGCATTTCAAACAAAACCAGGCCAATATGAGTCTCGCAAACATTCTCACATAAGTTTTTTGACAACTGGCAAAGCAGTCTGATGCTCTTCAACTTGCTTGGAGAAATAGAATTTTTACTATGTAGGCACCATGTAGCACTAAATCATCTTTGTGACAAGTATTATTATGCTTTTTAAGAAAAATCAGAAGACTTTACAAAAGGGTAACCTCTTCTCTTCATGCTCGACATGAGCTTTTCACTAAAGGTTTTACTAGCTACACCATGAACAGATGCTTTTCTTCAAAGACAAACACAAATCTAGTTATTTAGATACACATATTAAAAGGTGGATGTAGGTTTCCCTTCCACCTTCAACGACTGCAATGCAGGGCCAGACTTAGCAAAGAATAATCAAATACATACACTTCTGTGAAGTGCCTTAAATCCCTGTATGATCAGAACAGAAACAGCTTTGGGAAAGGGATTATCTGAAGGTGAAACAAAGGATCTTAACTGTGAAGAATGGATGAAATTAAAGATGTATGTTTAATACATACTAACATGGACTGTGGAGATCCCAGAGCTATGCCTAGTACAATAATGTAGCAGCAGTAATAATACAACATGAAGCTTCACACAGGCCAATTCACTTCACTTTTGGAGGTAAATTAACACCCACTGAGCTCCACACTGCCACTGCCAGTTTTGGGGTTTTTTTTGTACCTGAACTCATTCATACTGTTTGCACAGCAAGTCTTCTAACAGAGGCTAAGCTTACCCAAGGGCAGAACTGTCATTACTCCCTATGCTTTGTCTGTGTGCCCATTTATAAATGATTACACTGTGGGGCAAGAATCATCTCTCGTAAGATTTATCTACACTGGGCCTCCAGAGGCCCCAAAGCACAATAAAACCCAAGAGGCCCCAGAGAACATCAGGACTGGTAGGGACAAGGGGCAGCCTCACTTGTAGGCTTGCCATTAAGATCTCCAACTTCTGTTATTCCAGAGTGAATCAAGTTAAAAACCAAAGTAAGAAAGAATCCCCTTCTCCTGAAGAAGCAGCACATGTGTGTGCATACAGTCTCGAGCCATTTAACAAACTGCATCTTTGGCAAAAAGGAGCTTTCTGTCCCTTCATACTCACCTGGCTCACTGTCTATCTGTGTCAGCACGTCTTCAATAGAGTCCTCATCGTTTCGCAAGGTCTCTGGGTCAGGCGGAGTGTAGCCATGGCATCGACACCAGTGCACCACATGCTTTGTTTTCAGGGGTGTAATGTTGTGAAACCTGGGGTGCTTCTCTATGATTTCTTGTAGGATCTTTCTCACTGTCATTGCTCGTTGCCACTGTGACAAACCAAAGGGAAAGCTCATCGCACTGGCTAAAACTTCTAAGGCTAGACTATGGCCCAGAACAATAATCCAGGTTGCAAGGAAAACAAAAGGAATGCGATTTTCTCAGAAGTCAGAATGACAAGGAAAAACAAATGTGGAAGATGATCCTAATCCTGATTAGGCAGCTGCAGGCAGGTCATTTAAAGTCTGCTTTCTCATCCAAACAAAACCTCAATAGAAAGGGACACACATTTACAGGGGCCTAGACATATTTGTCTTGACTTGAACTGCCTCATCTCCCAGGTAACACCTAAGAAGGCATAGTGCAAGAGATCCAGTAGAGCAAAACATGCTGCTCAAAATTTTGGTTGAACTCTTTAATAATTTAAGTCGGCAACAGCAGGGGGTCTAATCAGTTTTAACATCTTCCTCGAAAAACTCCATAGCAAGATGACAAAACTATGAAGAAATAGGGGGAAATATAACAACCACAACACAAAAAGGTCCAGATTAACTGAAATACTTATCTTTAGTGAACTGACAATCTATTTCAGCACTAGCATTGCTTATGTCAGATCTCTCAATTCTCTTCCTACAAAATCAGACACAATCCCATGAAAAGATGGACAGAGTATGCTGGATAAAATTCCCATGACTGTAGTATGCCACAGAGGGGTGATGAGGATAAAGTGTTAACCAGACAGCTTGCAAAAATTCTGATTTTGGAAATGCTTCAGAAACATCTTACTTTGAACCAACTGAAAAATGACCTTTAGAGTCCCTTCTGCTTTTGAAAGCCTCTGAACAATAAACTGGATCACCACCTGGACACAAATCAGTGCGTCTTGCAGTAAGGAATGCTTCCATTTAAAATGCAACAGACTGCTTCAGAAAACAAATCAGCCAAAACCAAGGAAGGTTCCACACTTCAGAAATCCTTCTTGTGTCCCTAATGACTGCTTATGAAACACAGAGGAGAGGATTACCTCAGCTGCCCTCCTCTTCCCAATATTCCAGCTGTAATACTGTTCCACTGAACTGGCACAAAAAGAGCTTGCATCTTCACCTGGAAAACACAAAGCCAAAACCAGTATTAAATTTTAATATATGAAGTAAGATAAATTCTGGTTTTATTTAGTTATTTAGTGGAGAACAAGAGGGAAATGTGGTTGATGCTCATAGGATCAAGGACTGTAATTTTTACAAATGCTGTGCTCTCGCAGAGCACAGCACAGATACATGTAGCAGACAGTTTGTTTTTTGAATGCAAAATCAGCATCCGTCTTGGTCAGGACATACAGACATCTGTGGCTATGGGCTGTTTTAAGCCTCTTCTCCCAAAAACTGTAATGATGTAGACCTGTAAGTCTGTCTTACTGGACAAAGTCTCTTCCTTTGCAAAACATTTTTTTTTGCAAACAAACTGCAATATAAAAATGAAACAGTGAAAAGGTTTCCTGGCAAAAACATGTGGAAGGGATATGAATCCTAAGCAACGGATTCATGAATGCTACTGTATACCAGAGAGCTGTGTAATGAAAGCTTTACTGTGCCACCCACTCCTACTTTGCTCACTGTGCTTATCTTGAGAGGGTCTGCTCTACCCAGTCTCCAGGGCCACTTGTTCAAAGTGCATTAGTTACCAGAGAAAGTTGTCACGTTTTCAGCTATGTACATGAGTAAGAGGTATGCAATTATAAAGTACCAGAAAAGATTAAAACATTTCTCTGCAAACTAACACCTTTCGTTTAAAAAAAAAAAACCAAACCCAAACCCCCAACAACAAACACATTCCAATGCTGAGCTATGTTATCATATTTGCAAGCATTTCTGAAACCCTGGCATTAAAAAAAAAAAAAAAAAAAAAAGCGCACATCTATTGAGGACAAACCAGTGAAAAGAAGACCTACTTGCAGCCATTATGTGAGGAAATACAATCTATTTCTAACCAAAAATCAGGTGAAAGTTAATAACTGCTGTCGTGGTTTAGCCCCAGCCAGCA